TAATATATAATAATTATATTCGTAATAATATATAAATAATATTATTTAGACGTTTCGACCTTATATTAGATCATCTTCAATAAATTATTACATAAACATATTATCTAATTGTTATAATTGCGTGCCATGATAACAATATTTACAATATTTTAAAAATTTTACAATATTTAAAAAAAAAGCTTGATTTCTATGTGGCCTTTCTATTTAAATTTATAATGGATTCGCTCACGCTTTTCGTGAGTGGTTGATATGTTCACATTATAATCATATTCTTTTTATAATTATATTCATCAATTCTTTAAAACAATTTAAATGTCCGGTCTTAATATCATATTTTGAAAACATATGATAATTAAGACGGACATCTAAATTGTTTTAAGGAATTGACGAATATAATTAGAAAGAATACAATCTGAATATAATATGAACACATCAACGACTGACGAAGAGCGTGAGCGAATCCATTATAAATTTAAATTGCTATGTAGAAATCAAGCGTTTTTTAAATATTGTCCTGACACCTAATTATAACAATTAGGTAATATGTTTATGTAATAATTTATGTTATATTGAAGATAACTTAATATAAGGTCGAAACATCTAACGAATATAATTATTATGTATTAAATCGACGTTTTAAATAACAAACATTTTTCACATTAACACCAGTGCAGAGTTATATGCTCCTTATTATTATTGTATATTTATGAGCCTTTAGAAGAATTTAAATTTTTCTTTACGTCTTGTATTATATGCACATATCTTATCTAACTACAAATGAGAAATGATAATCCAACTTCAAATAAATTGTTTGAGGAGAGGAAAAGATAAATTTTTTCATAGAAATTCTCATATCAAGAACATTTTATTTTAAAATTAGTTTAGAAACGTTTAATGTCTTTTCTTTGTTAAATTTTGTGATAAAACATTCTGTATATACGAGTAATAATAAATTAAACACGTACTGTGTCACCAGCAGCTACGACGAAATCGCAGATGATTCTGACAGCTTCATCTCCGCGAATACCATTATTTAAAATCATCTGCAGAAGTCCGTCGTTGTTTGATAACTCGATCATTTCTGGCACCAGTTTGCGCACCTTGTCTAGCACCTCGTCGGCAGCCTTAACGAACTTGTTCCACACTGGCAACCTAAGCTTCATCGCTAACTTGGCTGGTATCATTGAAAGACGTGAAGTATATGTGAAAATCTGATGTAATATCGTGGCCACATCCTCTATGTCACGACGTAACCATGGTTCGCAAGCATGCCATTGCGAACCTATCATGGTCCCTAACATCACTATAAAAGGATTATCGATCAACATCGCGCATTGTTAATCGCGAAAAATCGTTTAAAATAATTTTACATAGTCGACGAATGCACTAAAATAATAATAACGATTTAATAAAGTATGATTATGTTAAATGCTGCTATATAAAAACTGCTGCTATATAAAAAACTCTATTATATAATGACTCGAAATGTACCCTCGATAGACCACTGATACAGCTGATGTTCCAGATTCGGTATTACACAACCGATTCGGCTATACCTTTGCCATTCCTTCGTGAGATTTTCGGCGGCTTCCTGACAAGGTCCACAGAAAAAAGTCTTTGGTGCAGGTTTCAGCATTACTTTATTGAGAATTTTACGGTAATGCCACCACTCTTCTCCGTCCCTATTCCAACAGCGCAATGTTCTTTCGTTATCGAAATTATTTTATGACAAAATGAATTACTTCACTGAGAAGAAGAGAATTCAGACGAACGAAAGATGATTTTAATTATATGAAAAGATTCTAAGAAAAATTAAAATTTTCACAAAAACATCTTATAAAACAAACGTTTCGATTCTCATCGCTAATATCTAATTCTATCGGAATTTATAACAATTCTTTTCTTTAACATACCGATGGGAGAACATCGTACGTACATGAAGAGTAGACCTCGGTTTTGTGTTCGAATTTCGTTATACAACATCCAGGATTCCGGTAAGAAGTGCCGCGGCGTGTTACCCGCAAGATCGGCTAATACTTTACGATATTCAGCTGGCGAATTAACGAAAACAGCTTCGATTGGTCCAATCTGATCTCTAAAGACTGGTCCAAGTTCTTGGTGTCTATTGTCCACGTATTCATGTAGTTTTTTCGCACCACCGGACATTATCAGGGATAATATTGTACCGAGCCAGGGAAGACCTCGTGGCTCGGGTGGTTCCTTCCTCGCTGAAGTGCCGAAATCTTGCGCGAACGTTCGCGATAACACAGAGCTCAAGCCTTGATTAGTGATATTCCACGAAGAAGGAGCAGCATCGTTAATATCATTTAATAATAAAAACCGCAAATCAGATCCAAGAATCGTTCCGCGCTTGCTAAACGAAACGTTGAAATCATTGTGGAAGTTCATCGACCTCGTGAATCTTCGTAATGTTCTTGGTGTAGTATGCATCTCTTTGGCGACACCAGGTATACAAGCCCGAGAGACGAATGTGCAGCTTCGCTGTCAACGAGAAATCAGATCGTGATCGTATCGAATCTGATACGCGTATACCGATTCAGCAATTTTTTTTTCAAGTCAACGAAATTATTACAAAACAAATAATGTATGCAAACGAGGATAAGCAAGTTTTATAAAAAGAAAAGTAAACGAAAACATCAGTTTAATGTATCACGTGACATGTAAAGCCAATGTTTTGAAATACAAGTAAATACAATATTGCTCGCTTAAATGTAATGTAATCGAGTTCTTTGTTTTTCGAATGTTAAACAAGGCCTTATCTGGAGTATGTATCACATAATATCCGGATATCTCACCGATATTTTTTCCCCTTTCAAGCCATCCTAACTCATACGTTGGAAGGCGTGGTATAATAGGGAGATAAAAAGTGCAGTTAAGAAAACAGAATGATATAAATGAAACAATTATGTGCGTGCGCAATCAAATTTATAATTTTGAAATTAATTAAGAAATATGATCAATGTTTCACATTCATGAAATAATCTTCAGTTATAAAATATTGTTTATTTGATACTCAATATATATATAATGCGTTATAGGATATTCGATATATTAAAACAGATTATACATTAACAGATAAGTATTAATTTATTACATTTTCCATTTAATTCGACCTAGAAAAAAAATATTTGCTGTTAACAAAATTAAAAATCTAATCAATTAAAAATGTGTGATTTTCATTAAAATTATTCTTTTTAAATAAATATTATGATAATGACGTCAAAGTTTAAATTTTGACAGCTAATAACATATTTTCTTTTTTAATTTATAATCTAATTAGAATTTTGTCTTTTACGCTCTCAATTGAAATTGCATAATCTATAAAACTTTTATGCTATTTTTAATACAATAATATATATAAAAATATGAACATCTCTTAAAAAGAGATAGAGATGAACTCTTTCACTTGAGCGAGCGATTGCGTCGACGGACCAAATCTCAAAGTGCAACGTTAATGATAATACATTATCCTTTAATCCAGTATTTTTCAAACATATACGTGTAATTTTAATTGATATCATTTCAATTCGGTAATTTTGATTTTAAACAATTAAGTTTTGCTTTGTCTTTAAGTTGTACTGTGATTTTATTCAATTTGCAATTCAATTTTTCCTCCATCGTGATACATTTAATTCACGATCGATTTAACTACATTTAATTAAATTTTACTCACAGCAGCAAGCTAAATTTAGTCCGCGATGAAAAAAAAAAAAATTAAAGCGGTTCGAACCGGTTAGCAGTTCAAAAAGATCGTTATATATATAAGGAAATATCCTTTAATAACATAATAAATGTATACACACCGATATTTAATTTTAATTAGTTCCTCTTCTTCTGTCGTTATATTATATAGCAATTATCGAGCAATTGCATTTCATCTCAGGATGTTGTATTTGAAAACTGAGACTCGCGTGATTTCTTCGTTCTCCTCCTTCGTTATACTCAGTGTCTGAAGGCTCGAGCTCCGTATAAACTCGCGTACGTGCCGGTCTAACAAACTATGCTCGATTCTCAGGGGTCAAACTGTCGAACTCGCTTGGTGAGCATCTCGATCCTCACTATCGCGCATGCGGCCTCCTGGTTGCCGGTCGCTGACAAACCGGCCGGAAGCGGTACCGACCGGAAGCGGAGCGTAGTCGAGCAGTTCGAAATGACCTTCTGTCTTCCATGCGACTGAATTCGCGACAGGCTTGCAGCAGGAGATCGGGTACCGTTATCTGGAACTGCTCCGCCATTCTATCCTTCTCGTCTTGAATTAGAGACGCGGTCAAATCCGCTTCCCAGGTTTCTATATAAGGTAATTAATTATCATTACGCTAAGCGCGCGCTTTTTTATAGAGAAATTATTTCGCGCTCAGCATCAGCCCGCGCGTTTAAATTCCTTACGTTTCTTAAAGGATAATAAAACAACCGGATCGAGTATCGATCAATCATATAGATAACTTTTTCCAAAAACGTGAAAAGTAAAAAAATTTTTTACTTTTACAATTTTTATTTTTGAAGTTTTCGAAAAATTTATTCCAAACAATTCGATAATACGTGTCCGGTATGTTTAAAGCGTCTCACTTTCCATGCGGGAAAAAGAAAGAAAAGAGAATTCTTCTCTCTGAGAAACTTTAAATTGCTCCACAGACTACATTACCTATAAATAAAACGCAAATATTTGAATGTCAGAATAGCCGAGTCTGTCGAGAGCACAGAGAGAGACACTTCGATTACATTCCGAGATATGCTAACATCCCGAGTTTATTCAAAATACATCAGCTACATGGAGTTTTATGTCACGTCTATACATTCCTGGATCTTTCGAGATTTCGGATGCATCTGATATATACTTGATAACAAAATCCATTCTTCTCCTTTTTTTTCACTTCATCCTCTTCTATTTTTGCTTCTAAAAAATAAAGGAATAAGAGTTGTGACACATTCATAGCCCGATGATATCAAGTAATTGTTATTCATAGCCGGAATTCATCAAGTAATTGTCATTTCAGACAATTTTAATATCCTTTTTATAAAAAGATTCAAGTTAAAAGTCTCTTGCGCTCTAAAAACGTCATGGAATTTTTAATTCCATTCATCTCTTCCATTTGCTTTTAATTGTTTTTTTTCAATTTTATTTCAAAACTAATTATATCTATTATATTATCTGCCAATGTACTTTAACTTTAATCTCGGTTTTTTATCTCGATAAAATTAATTCTCCATCTTTTTCTAATTACAAGGGCTGATTCTATGTAAGATGAACTTCAGTTTAATTTCAGTTTAACATATGCTGTTTACCTTTTTCTAATTCTAAGAATTAGGAAAAATGAAGTGTAAGTTAAATCGAAATCTGCAAAATTAAAATTAATTTTACATTGACAAAATCGATTCTTAAAAAAAGAAACAAATATTAACTCTTTTTATACGCAATGACATGCTGATCTTTTATTACGATATAAGTTTGTGTCTCAGATTAATTTTCATCACGTTTATAATAAGTATATAAAAACTATAAAGAAAATTCTTGTGATAAATATGCAGTATAATGTATCTCATAATTTTTTATTCTTTTTGTGACATCAAAAAATTTGAAATTAAAAAACGGGACTTGAACAACAATTTCTTCTCTGAATATATTCTACGATTCTATGTGTAAATATATACAATTAAATTTTTTTAATTTCGGAAAAAAGGAGATAGGGGAGCATTGCATATTTATTTAATATATTCTTACATATACTTTAACATTTTTAGAAAATATTTATAAAGTTGTACATTTAAAAAAAAATAAAGATCACTATATATAATTAATTTAACCTAAAATTAATTTACTAATTAATTTATGTTCCTATAAGTATTCCAAAGGAAAGAAATTTGCAGGACACGAATATGTGTATTAACGGTTAAAATGCAATAAATGCGGAATGGAACGTAGAATGGAAAATAGAGAAGGAAAGAGTTGGACAAGATAAAAAAAAGCGGACGCGCCATGGGCGCGACTAACCAGTTTGTCTTGCATTAATAACGATTACTTTAATGATCGTTATTTTAACATACTAATCAAGTGCTTGATATTACAGTTACGTGTTATTAAAGATCGAAGCAACATATTTCATGCTTGATTGGTCCCAAGATTTGCTTTCTTCACCGAGTTTCCGCACTTTTTTTCAACGACCGTTCTCCAGCAGGAGGAAATTGTGATTCAAAGCAAAGTTCATGGAGTATCGATATTTCCCATCTCGATCAAAGTATCGATATCGCCCGCGACGGGTGCGAACCGCGCGACCTCTTCCCATCTTTTGGCCCGTTTATAGCCCGTTTTGGAGGCTCGGCAATTTTCGGCGATCCAAATAATCCTCGCATTCCTCGCGCGCGTTTAGCGGCGCGCGGTGCGATATTTTTGGACGCGCCGCTTCTTCGCTGGTCTTCGCATCGGCCAGCACTGCGGCGTTATCGTTATCGCGTCAATATCGGTAACGGCATAGCTCAATCTATTCATCGGCTGCTTTTGCCTTCTCGCTCCGAGTTGTTCCACGGTGACTTTGACTGACATTCCGTCCGCCACTTATAGCAACTCGTATGTCGACGTAGGTACTCGTAGGAGTCATAGGTAACCGAGGAACATCGTCGTCGTCGTTGTCGACCCGTGGAGCTGCACTGTGCTGCACCCTGCTGCACTCTCCTTTTTTTTTCTTTCTCTGATGCGCGTTGTTCACCTCGTGTCCTGGGACTTCTGGGGTGCAAAAAGTGCGAGTGTGTCACGAAAACGCTGAAAAAGAGTCCTCTCCTGAGAAGCTTCTTGGACTACATGGTTACTGAGCTAACATTTAGCGGCTGAAATCGGCGAGTTGAAGAAGGAGAGAGATTGGACAAACCCACTTGTGGTCTCCCCAAGATCTCCCTTTCGAAAATTCATACAGGCCTTTTAAAAAGATTTCCCTAATCCTGCGGTTCCGACGAACGTCATCAGTAATCTGAGATCGAATCCCTTTCTCTCGATACAATGGATATCGACGCCGACACTTGTCTCAAGGAATGGAACGATTTGGTGCAAGACTACAAGGAACTGGAGGTGAGAATCGTCGTCATCGTAGAGGCGTGTTCAGATTCCATCTAGGTGCTCCCCAGGTGTCATGTCATTCTTATCTAATGTACGATAAACGAGGATGGAATGACACTCAAGTGGGAATGAATTCAGAGTTCAGAATCTGAACTCAGCATAGGACGAGGCTGACGAAGTTAGGTCTCATCCTTCGTTATTCGCGAATCATGCCAATCGGCATGACGGAAGGAAGATGAAAACAAATTGCCGTTTTGATGATTTCGCAAACATCATGTGATATCGTGTGACCTTGATGATAAATCGATTACGCGCGAGTGACTTGTGTTATTTTTCTTTAATAACCGTTCTGATTAATAATTCTGCATTTTAATAACCGCGAATGATGCTGCAGAATTTCATTTTAAAGCACAAATATTATTGCGCACACTCGCAATTACTTCCTAGATTGTTTCAGTAACTCGTGCAATGTTAGTAGAGCTAAAAGTATGATTTTTATACTTATATGATATAAAATGTATCTAATTTACATGAATATAAAAATACAAAAAATATATAAAGTAATAAATGTGTAACACAGTGACCGTTTCATTTTTGTTTAACATTGACAAACGACAAGGATGTAATGATTCACTGTGTCATCTGTATAGGCCTGTTCTTTTTAGCTGAACTTTTTTCTTTAACGAGAAGAGAAAAGGAAGAAAAATGAACCAATAATTTTAGCTAAAATGAACAAACCTAATATGTTATATATTGGAAAACATCCATAAAGAATAACAAAAATGAACAAATGATCATTATCAATTAATCGAATTAGTTATGAATCGAATCATGTTTATGACCTTTGATCGTTATTTATTAACTGATAAACAAGATATTGAAAGATGCTTTCCATTTAATAACCCAGGTTAGTACAAGTATCTTTTTATCTTTTTTGATATTCAATCAATGAAAGATAAAATGATACTTGTATTGTCAAATGGAAGGCATCTATTGATTGTTGTTGTATTCTAAAGATATCTTATTTACTTACAGGCACTAAATAGGGAATATATTTTGAAATTAGAAGAAATTGGCGAGCTGCAAGCAAAATGCATCAAAGGTATCTCTCATCAGAAATATCGAATGGGTGTAATATCCAAATCCTTAAAACAGTAAGTTTACGAGCAGCAAACAAGATGGATTGAAATGAATTGAAATGGATTCAGATTTTCAGAAATATTGATTCACGAATGTTAAAATGAATGCTTTTCAATCCTGAATGCATTTTTATTTATTTATAGAAATTGCATGGAGCATATTTGTATGCCTTTCAAAAAATAATATTAACTTTTTCTGTTGTGAGTACTATTCAATTCAAAATTTTGAATAGGAAATGCAGTTTTTCAATCCAATTGAATCTAATTGAATCCAATTGAATCCAATTAAATCTAAAAAAAAAGTATTCGCTATTTAAAATATACATTCGAATAGAAACAAATTTCAATCCATTTTAATCCATTCTCGTTTGTTGGGCAGTCTATAAATTTTTTTTAGAAGAATAATCGATAACTTTCAATTATATTAATTAATTAATGTTTTTATTTATTAAATACTTAGAAAGATATACCGATAATATTTGCAATATTTGCAATTATTATTTAAATTAATTTATATTATATATATATGACAATTTATATAATGTTTATCTATTTCTAGGCTAAATACAAAAGAAACACAAGAAGAATTGCAAAAATCTATGACGAGGAGAGAACAGCAGCTCAGAGAGATTGAGCAAACTTTACCTAAATCAAACGGCATTTACTTACAAATTATTCTAGGCAGTGTTAATGTCTCCATATTAAATAAAAGTGACAAGTATGTTACTGTTAAAAATCATATCTGACATATCTTTATTTGGAGTGATTTCATAATAATTGCTTTCAGATTCAAGTATAAAGACGAATATGAGAAATTCAAATTAGTGCTGTCCGTAATTGGATTTGTCTTATCTGTATTAAATCTGTTTACCAATATAAGGTGAGATATAATTTATTATAATCAATGTGTTTTCTATTTTAAATTATATACTACTACAATAAGACATTCCATTTTTATTATTATATTACTAAATTTATTATTTATATATATTTATTTATTTATAATTATTGTGTTTTATTTTATGTTTCAGAACCTTAGAACTTAGTTTTATGTTTCTTCTCGTTTGGTACTATTGTACATTAACGATAAGAGAAAGTATACTCAAGGTAAATGGATCAAGAATTAAAGGATGGTGGAGATTCCATCATTTTCTCTCAACAGTAGTATCCGGGGTTCTACTAGTCTGGCCGAATACTGGACCGTGGTATCAATTTCGTAACCAATTCATGTGGTTTAATGTGTATATCAGTGAGTATTGCATAATTTCTAAATGTCATAAAAATCTAATAATATAAAAATAATAAAGATAAATAAAGGTAAATAGCTCTAGAATTGAAATATTCAATAACTTATAACACTATATTTTATTTTCATCTATGTATAATAGCGAATTTTAATTAATATTTTTCAGGTGTAGTCCAATATTTGCAATTTCGGTACCAACGTGGCGTTTTGTATCGGTTAAAAGCACTGGGAGAGAGGGACAATATGGACATTACTATTGAGGGATTTCATTCGTGGATGTGGCGCGGTCTCTCATTTCTGCTGCCGTTCCTCTTCGCTGGTTATTTGTTTCAACTTTATAATGCGTACACGTTATACGAACTAGCATACCATCCAGAGGCGACATGGCACGTACCAGTACTTAGCGCCATGTTCCTCGTATTATTTCTGGGTAATACTACCACCACCATCATGGTAATCCCACAGAAACTCGTCAAGGATCGCGTTAAGGATCAACTATTCGCTTTTAAACCTGATCACAGGAAAGAGGGAAGAACACGAGATAAGAACAATAAAGATGAAAAAAGTGAGTGAAGGAAGAATTTCGAGTACTTCCAGCTGATGAAAATTTCGACTTAATTACATGGAAAATAAATTGGAGGAAAAATCACAAAGATAAGATGAATACGCTATAAAATGGTGTTGGTGTTGGCTCTAAAATATAACGAACACAACACTTTGTTGCGTTTAGCAATGGAAGTACACATACACGCATATACGATGTGAGTGACTTTGATCACAAATAAAGAAGTTTCCGCGTATTTTTAATTACTTTACTCTTGGATAATCCATGTCAAGTGTTCTCGAGAATACTCTTTATATTCTTTGACCGTCCTGAAATAAACTTGTCTAATTCCAACAATAGACTGCTCAACGAATTTGACGAATTAGTTTTTTATATGAGAAAATGTAAAATGTGTTTTAAACATATTATTTTCAATTATCTTTCAAAATTAAGAACCTCCAGGAAATAAAAACTTAAGAAGAAAGACTTAAGAACTTCCTAGACAAGAATTATGCAAATCTATTTGAAATAATTAACATAAACTAATTATTATTGTGTGTGTGTGTGTGTGTGTATGTGTGTATGTGTGTGTGTGTGTGTGTGTGTGTGTGTTCATATATGACAATTAATTGAATAAATTAATCAAAAATTAACTAATTAATTAAAATTAACGTGATTTTTTAAAATTTTATTTTCTGAAAAATATCTATTATTTAGAATTTCTAATTAAGCATCATTTCACGATAGTTTTGATTGAAGAAAAATCAATTCCAGATTCACATCACAATTTTCTGTTCTATTTCAGAATTTATATGATATACTCACTTGGATTACTCCAAATATACACATTTATTTTTAATTGAATTACTAACTCGATATTATGATTCTATCATGATACACAATATGATGACAAATATTAATGCCCAAACACAAACTCCATTCGACAATAGGCGGACTAATCTTTATTTGCGGATAATTTATATGTGTATATAATTTATGTATGTGTATATGTGTGTGTGTGTGTGTGTGTGTGTGTACACACACACACACATACACACACTCGCCTATTGTCGAGCGGGGTTTATGTTTAGGCATTAATATTTGCGCATTATATTGCATGTCATGATAGAACCATAATATCGAATTAGTAATTCAATTAAAAATAAATGTATTTGGAATAATCCAAATGAATATATCATATGTAGATTCTATATGCACACACACACACACACACACACACACACACACACATACACACACACACACACACACACACACACACACACACACACACATGGATCTAAATTACGTAGTTATTTTACATGCAGATATACATATACATATGTGATACCATGTTTATTTCGTACGATATCGCGCAAAATGCACCGAAAATGATCTTGTATAGTATAATTATGACATATTTTGCTCCAAATGTATTTATTGAAATGTATTTACTCATGTGTAAATAAACGCATACCGAGCCGCCTAATCCTATAACGATAATCCGTAGTTAAAAGTTACTTAGAATTGCTAATCCGAATTTTTTTAAATAAGTTTCTCTTTCTTTTAACCCTTCTATTTCATTTATATCATATATGAGCATGAAAATGCGTGTCTTGTCAGACATCGTGAATGATATTTTACTGCGGATAACATAATGAATTAATGTAAAACGTAAACAAATTATGTATTATGTGCATTTTATTATATAATAATTAACAATGTATATTTTTGTGATAAATTAAGTAGGAGCGAAAGTGATCTATACATATCAAGTGAGTTGATTTTTTTAAAAATTCTTATTTTTCTACTTCCTTTTTCTTCATTATAATTTTAGATATGATCTTGACTTTAAAAAAAAATTTCGAAGATGCTATTTTATCAAGTGATAAAAATACTTGATAAATCATGAATGGTACACCATTCATCAACTTCTAGATCCACCAACGTCAAAGCGCAGATACTAGCTGAAGTGAAATTCAAACACAAAAAGGAAAAAGAGAAAGTATTAGCGTACGTGCAGGTAGAATATAAATCAATGAGAAGAACCGACTAGAACTGGCAACTGTAGCTACGCCACTGTCTGAAAAAGCAATAGTTTAGTCATCGCAATCTACGACGCTTAGGTAAGCACAACCAGTCTTTATCGTACGTTCTTCACGAGTGTACACGTCGTGCAAACTTTGCACATCCTTTTATATTCTACTGTCTATATATTAAAGTGAACAGGTGCGCATTGAGGAGCCAAGATGCCGGTAAAAATCAATTGGCCCATGTTGATGGCGACGGTCTGCCCTAACATTGGCGGCTGGATTGACAGCTACTTTGTTAAAAAAAATATCAGCTGGTACGAGGTGAGATGACATCACATACAAGTACGTCGGTGAAATTACGTCATTGTCATGATATGAGAAATTAAACGAAGCGTTATTTATTTGGAAGAATATTCGTTGCTATGCGCTTTTTCTGCAAAATCTAAATATAAATTCGTAGAAACATTTGTAGGTGAAGGTCATTTGATATATGCACGAATCGATATAATGGCGAAATGTAAATATGCTATCTGGATCATTCGAGCCACTTTGCTGCAATATAAAAAATTATATCTCATATCTTGATCTATCTTCATTAAATCTTAATAACACACAGAAATTATACAATATTACTATTTATAATTACTTGCAATTATATTTCTTTATAATCTGATATCTATAATAGTTTACAATTATAATTTTGGTTATATATAATAAATATATATGAATTATTTAGAAATATTATAACTGTACGTATTTATCTAAACTTTCGTAACTATATATTATCTATAATCATGATTATGATAGCTTAAAATTGTGTTTATTTTTACAATTATTCATAACATACGCGATACATCAATGCAAATTCCAATAAACGGACAAACGGACAAGATACTTGTCTGTATTGTACTCATAATTAATAATAATTATAGCAAATAATTCCGCGAATCTATAATCAATTCGGTTACTTTTTTTTTTTAGAATTTATAGTTGTCAAAATCTCTCGTTCAGAAAAATAATACATAAATAATATACCTTTTTCATGGATGTGTTTTTCTCTTATTTCGTAACATCTTCTTTCTCTATGTAATCTTCATATGTACAGTCTTTCAAAAAAAGAACTACAAAACTTTTCAGGTTTACATCCATCTATAAATAAAGAAAAGATTTTATGTAATAAATATACAGGATCTATATAGAATTTGTCTTATCGGCAATTTAAATGTCAAATTATTTAACAGATTACTCGATATAATAAATGAAGATCAAATGATTACGAATATCGATCGCTTGAATGATGAGCATTTAAATAATTTAAAGAGATTTATGAATGCTCGCGTTCAGAAATCAGTGTTTAAGAGGCCTACATACATTTTTCCTAACAATAACCATAAAATATATCGTAAAAAGTAACCAATCACAGTCAAGAAACTTGTCAAAAACTTTCAACTTTGATTGGCTAATTCTTATGGTACGTCATACGATTACTGTTATGGAAAATGCGGGCTCTTTAGCGTTTTACGCTATTATATTTTTAGATTTAGAAGAATCTTATCAACGAAAGAAACTTCCAATAGTTGCAAAATAAATATTCTGCTGAACATGACCATTCATTACAAAAACTTAGTAGTTATATATAACTTGGTATAACTATAAATCTGTAATTATGCTTATGTAACCAGTGATTGAGGGCACAGTTTATAATTCCGTAAGTGTCGCTTTATAGGATACGTAAGAAAAAGATAGGTTTTGCAAATATTCAAGAGAAAATCAGAAATCTTTTCTCGAATATTAATGTTGCAAAGTAAGTGCCGATACGATTATTTCGATACTTTTATTTCGCTTACACAAAATCTCTTTTCGTGTGAAAGAGAAATAGGAGGCTTAACTTAACGATCAAGCAGCACTTCTATCTACCGTCAATCGCGGAAATGCTCAAGTGTGTTTACAATAAATTACACCTTACCGCTAATGATATAATAACACGTAATATATCGCTTTTGTACGTATAGATGTGTCCGCCGCGCTTAATCCGTCACTCTCTTGTTCCAGTCACTGAAAAAGCCAAAGTACATCCCGCCGAATTGGGTATTCGGGCCCGTGTGGACCACCATCTACTGTACAATGGGTTACTCGTCATACCTTGTGTGGCGAGACGGAGGTGGCTTCGAGGGGGCGGCCGTACCGCTCAGCGTCTACGGCCTTAATCTCGCCCTCAACTGGTCGTGGACGCCGCTATTCTTCGAGACTCGTAACATAAAATTGGTATTACATCTAATTACATACACATACACACGCGCGCACGCATACATTAATCGTAAATCTCTGAGATCGTTCGAGTGTTTTTCGCATAATTTTATCATAATTATAAATTTACCATTAATCAATTTTTTTATTGCTACATTATTTATATTGGAAGATATCTAGGTAGATTCAAGATGGATCTTTTCGAGATTCGCATCGCTTAAGATTAATCCTAATTAACAAATAAGTGATGAAAACCATAGAAGATTATATTCGGTCAAAGCGAATGATGATACCTGATAATATTCTTGCGTAATTCTTACAATTTCCAAATCAAGCAAATGGCGCGCCAATTATTTGTCAGTTTTGAAATACAACGGATCTAGACCTCTATTTTTGAAAAGTATCGCATACGAAAAACTAGGGAAATGCTATAGTATATGTAACACATACTATAGTATTTCCATAGTTTTTCGTGCGTTCCATAGTATGCAATACTTTTCAAGAATAAGGAGCCTTTGTTCTTGAAAAGTATCGTATACAACAAATTTAAGAAAATATTATAGTACATTACGGGTACTACAGTATTTGTCCAGTATGCGATAATTTTCAAGAATAGAGGTCTTGCTCTTTTTAGCGGTATTTCTTGCAGAGTTCACCTTTTCTTTTTTCTTTTCACATTGGAGAGAAAAAGAAAGGAACTAAACTAAAATTATACAGAATACAATATATAATAGCACAAATTAAATTGACAAGCAATTAATAATGTTGATGCAATTAATAATGAGGATCTTAAAGAATTGTAAAGAATTTATTGCGAAAAATATTCTCTAATCAGGACTCGAACCTGAACCTCTTTTCGTTCCGTGTGTGACGAGTATCTTACTAATTCTAATTCATGAATAAATATATGACTAGAAAACAGAGATAATAGAAACTAATTTCTTTTTCATATAATTACGAAAAAGACAGCTTATCTTTTTTTCAAATCGAATTGAATTTATATTTTTAGAAGTAAAGATTATATATCAATAAAATTTTATAAGAATATCTTTGTATAATACATAATCTCCATTTTTTTAAATATGCAATAGTTCTTGATTTGCAAAAAAAAGTTATCAATGCCCAATTTGCTCGAACGATCCTTGAATCTTACAATGATTTTAGACCGAAGCGAGTTTAGAGATTGCTTTGAATGCGGTTAGATCCAACTTTTGTGAACTCATGTTTAATTGATTTTAACGAAAAATCAATTTTATACATAATATAATTATTTCTCAGTATGTTTCCAGTTTAATTTCCAAGACAAGAACGATATATGTTTTAGATTTTTTATATACGATCTGTTCTTTAGCATTAAAAATTTTTTGTTAATTTCAAATATACATCTATTATCATTTTAAGTATAACGAGTGTATACTAGTTTAGCTACAAAGAATAGACCTTTTTATAAATCTTTTGTAATTGGAAGTAGAATGACATCATTTAGCGATTTTGGAGCGATCCTATAAAACTTCGCTTCGATCGAAAATGTTATTAAGACTATTGTTTTACATTCGTACACAGGCTCTCTATGAAATTGCGGCGTTGTGGATCAGCACGGCGGCGGTTGGGGTCGTGTTCTTCCACATTAATCCCACTGCCGGTTATCTCATCATTCCCTACGTCATGTGGAACTCTTTCGCCGCGACATTCAATTATGTCATCTATCGAGATAACAAACAGCCTCCTGCTATTGAGAAAGCCGAAGGAAAGAAGAACTAAGGAAATTTATATAGCGAAAAAGAAAGGGGGAATAGAGAGAGAGACACACAGCAGTGCCGTGGATGTCTGCTTAGAAAACCAGCTTTTGTTAAAAGAGCATTCCTCACGAGATTAATGCTAATCAACAAGTGGGCTTAACAAGTACTTTGAGTAAGATTTGAATATATAAAAATCGAGTATTCGCATATATCTCTATTAAAAGAGATCTTTTATGAAAGCGATGAAAAGAAAAGAATCACCGCGAAATATTTCTATTAGAGTCTATTGCTTTTTTTTTTTATTTGTATTAATATAGCATTGAATGAAATACTTTGTAGTAGTTTTTTTTCCTTTTTTTTCTATATAAAGTTATTTAAAAAAAGATTATGTGCGAAAATACTCGTTATTCAAAGGCGTTGAAAAACTTGGTATGCATTGATATGGATAAGTCTAGCTTATCGATTGGCTATTCTTTTGTAATCTTAAAAAAATTGAATTAATCGAGCCCATTATTCACTTTCGTACATCATTATCGTTATGGACCACTTCAATCGTCGGGTTCGACGAGACATGCCTTTGCATTGAACGCACAACGCCGTTAGTATACACATGTTTATTGATCGATATACGAAATAAAGATCAGCTAACCGACCACGTGTACGTACATTATACAGTGTAATATCTTAAATGTACTATATATAAGCTTTAATAAATCATATAAAGTAACCTGGGAAAGGATGGATGGGAAACAGATGGTGTGGACAGGAGACTTTCATTTTCTTCACTGTCTACCCTATTCTGTGTGGAGCTACGGAGTCTTCTTTTGAATTAATTAGTCTCAGTAAAGTAATGTCAGCCATGAATTTGGAGAATTCCCGCCTTTAAAGCTGTGATCTTGGCATCAATCTCGTCTTTTGTACAGAATAGGGCAGAATATATTACAGAAGAGCGATATCGAGTACGATGACACGGGCGGCTGCTCGATCTCTTCTAGGCGGCTATTGCCGCCGTATTCAGCTGCCATGTTTCACAAGCGCTACGTGGGTTCGGTTGCGTAGATGTAGCCTTGTTGTTGTAGCACGTACAGTCGCTTCTCCACTGCCTCTTTATCTGAAATCAATGGCAAACTGTGATTACTATGAACGATAAAATAAGATAGAATCGAACAAAGATTATATTGGCAAAATAATCTAATTTAATTTTTTATTATAAATGAGCGAAAGAGATTTATCTTATACAATGTATAGCACTGTAATTGATAAATTAAATTGGTTATAAATAAATATTATAAGTTGATGTGCAAAGATGTTTTATATTTTTGCTGTTTACTTTACATAACACAAGCGAATTCTACACTTTTATTTTATTTTTATATTAAAAATTAAAATTAAAATTTTAAATATATATAGGCTGAAAAAGAAATTATACGAATCATCAGAAATAATTGAGATAATATTTTTATTATCATCGAAGATATTTTTTCAAAATTTTTCAAATTAAAAAAAAATAAACAGATTTGTTAGCGAAGAAGTTCAAAGAAGATACAGAGCGAAAATAATACGTACATTTGATAAGTAGAGCTCGATCCTGACTATGGCTGACATGTTGCGCTAACGAATGTAATAATATTTGCGCCGTGTGATATCGTTGAAAACATTCACCGCCTTTTCCGAATAGCTCATCCAATGCCGCTGATTGACACTGAAAGTATAAATAATCCCATTAAATACTTCAAATATCATATCAAACGAAATTGCATTGTTTTTAATCATCAAAAATATAACATAGATGTATATTCAGCCTCAGGATAAAGAAATCAATGTGATAAACGTAATTGAAAAAATGTGAAGTTATTTTTTGATACCATGTGAATCGCATGATTGTACAGTATCTTGTCCGCCGTGGCTCCTGTTTGACGAAGAAGCCCTACGCTATTCAACTGCTTGCATTCCGTCAAACACGATTTGAATTTCTCGTTCATAGTACTGACAACTGCAATATTTAAAAAAGAGCAATTTAATTTCAGTTTATATAAACTAACTCATATATCAACTTAAGTTTAATTAACAAATAATATGTACAATAATATAAAATTTAATAAATAAATTATATAAAGTGATGTCGCAATGCTTTTAGTATTTTTAAAGAAATTTATTCTTAATGATAATAGAAACACTAATGTCTTTCAAGTTATAATAAAATATAAAATGCACTTCATAATTTGAAAGACACATAGAAACAAATAATCTTACATCACATTAATTTATATAGTATGGATTTATTTTAAAACAAAAAACAAAAATTTTTTAATTTCTAAAATTTTTTAATTTTATATATTCTAAAATTTTAGAATTTGTTTTCAAATTCAGGGTAAATATTTTAATTTAAAATTTGAAATGTATATGATCCAATATCTAATGTTAAAAATAACAATAATAAGAACTTTACCATCCTTCACAGTGGCTGTTGGTTGCAGCCTTCCTGCTTTAAGTTCCTGAGTGGCCAAATTCAGACCGGAGCTAAGCCATTGAAGAGCTCGTACCAGAAGGATGACCTGCTCGGCACGTTTTCTAGTGGCCGCATTGCCAGCCTGTTCGATGCTGCCGAGAGGTGCCGGTTGTTCGATGTTTCCGAGCGGGCCAGCCCTGGATCTGGCGACTTCGCATACGCATTCGCACAACGCCACGACAAAATTCAACTTGGCCAGGATCTCGTTGTGCTCACGCTCCATAAGTGTCTCTTCCGGTAACTCCGGCGCAATGAACGTTAATGGACGATCTTCGATTGTCGTCGGAGGTATATCGGGAAACAGATTTTGGAAACTACCGGCTTCTATAGATGAGATAGATAATTAAAATTAATAAATATACCTATGATTTATAGGGAAAGTACGTAAACGATTTGTAGAGAAAAGACTTCTCTTTTTTCATACTTATCTAATATAACTTTCGAACAAAATATCCATTAAGACGACATTGGAATTATCAGATTAAAAGTTAATGACTCTCTACTATGATACGGATATTCCGCACAGTTCCGATGTTAGATTTTTTGACAATGGCCAAAACATTACCAGATATTTCCGGAAGAGTGACGGCCCTTGTGCCGAAGGGTATGACAGGCGAATGTCTAAGAGTATTGTTGTTATCTTGAAAAGCTCGGGAAGTAGGCGAGCCGAGTACTGCTAGCGGACCTGTGAGCAACGGCGAGGATGCGCTGTTATTACCCGTGGAACGTCGTAACGGTGAAGTTCCACTCGGCGTGTGTGAGTGTCTTGCTACAGGGCTGACTTGCCATGTATTGGGTGGTGGTGGAGTCTCGCTCAACCTAATTGTTGATATATTAGCTTTAATCTTTTAGTTTAGTTACGTTATATTATTTTCGAATATCTGAATCTTTAATAAAAAAAAATGGTGAGAGTTTACAAAAATTCAATATAATTTAAAAAAAACAAACAAAACAAATTTTAATAAACGTACAATTCCACATTAACCGACTGTTAATTGTTCCATGCGATTGATTTATTCCATTAACAAATTAATTAATAAAATAATAATAAAATAATTAGCAGAGAAAAAGAGAAATAATTTTTATTAATAAAAAATAATTATATATATATACGTGGGTCGTTTGATAAGTTTGGTAAATTTCCATGAAATGGCGCTACAATCCATTTGATGACGCGACATCTCGAAAGATCCACCCCTTCAGATCAAATTTCAGCCAGAAAGGACGCATAATTCACGTTTGGTAGTCATTTGAAATAGGCTGTCTCAACGTCTGCAAGTCTTCCCACCGAGCCAAGTTTTTAAGTTTGGGAACAGAAAGAACACGGGGCCAAACCCGGAGAATAGGGTGGATGAGGAATCAATTCATAGCCCAATTCGTAGTTTTGTCATTGCAATGACTTGTGGGACGGCGCATTGTCTTGATGGAAGAGCACTTTTTTGCGCGCCAATCTCGCTTCAAATGACTACCAAACGTGAACTATGCGTCCTTTCTGGCTGAAATTTGGCCTGAAAGGGGTCGAAGAGTGGATCTTTCGAAATGTCGCGGCATCAAATGGATTGTAGCGCCATTTCATGGAAATGTACCAAACTTATCAAACGACCCACGTATATATATATATAT